AAAATCAATAAGAACTAAGGTTTCAACCTGAAATCCTCGTTGGCAGAAGAATACACTAAACTCAGCAATAGGTGACAGGCTCAAACCCAACCTAGCTCTGATTTGTGATACTAGCGGCCAATATTTGAAATTGATTTGATCTGATTACATTCTATTCGTGTCTAGTGATATAATGTTTTGGTTACCATAATTTTGGCCCATCCTGTATAGAAACCGGGTAAATATCCCATGCGGTGGTCAGGCGTTTCTCTTTTGCCCAAACAACACAATCAATCGATCCCATCAAGTAGCACCTGTGCAGTCAGGATCCGCCTGATCAATCAGCTGCCCGATTAGAAGATTACAACCAACCTGGTCAGGTGATTGGCACAACTCACTTTCAGCTCCTTTCCTGCTTCCAAACAGAGGTTTAAGTGTTGGCTGATTCAAGGTCTGGGTCCGGAGACAGGTTGATTTTGGGTAGACTCCGGGAGCGGCACTACTCACCCTTGGAAAGGGAAGCCATACGTTCTGTCCTGGGGAATCCTTCCATAATGCACCAGTATATCTATACCAGGCAAAAGTCCTAAAAGCAAATCTACCTGGAAAACCTTGGGAAAGCCGGGGGGAAGAGGAGATAGGTATGCTAAAGGCAGTCTAATAATGTTCGAATTTCTTGAAATTTCCTCAAATTTTAACAACTTCTCCTTTCTTCAAAAGCAAATTAACCTGGAAAACCCTAGAAGAAGCCGGGGGAGGGGAGCAGGTATTCCCAAACTTCCTGAAAATCCTAAAATTGCGATGCTATCCCACCAAATGAGGGGGCCTCCCTCCTCCTAAATGAGTCATGACTAGGACCCAATTCTATCAAATTTTGCAAAGCGGACGGTTGACTCTGGTACAAAACCAGTTCCTTCTAAGACTTCTTCGAGACGACGCTTCACCTATAGGGTTGCTGTAAAGTAAAGTTACAGCACGCTGTTACTCAACCGCGCTTCATCTAGTTTTCATCAATTTCGAACGGAAGCAGAACGGCGCAAAGGGCGGCGCCGACGCGTTGAAACGGCCGACGAGAAAACTGGATCGTTCAAGAACTTCTATACACTTTCCACAGTCTTCGACATTGCCCAGCACTTCTCAATCGTAGCGGTTCCAAGGAATTGCTTCTGGAACCTTCCTGATGAAATTCCTTCGAACCGTGTCTCTTTCGCCATTTCTCTTTGAAAGTGCTCGTTATTCAACGCTTTCCCTTCCGTTCCGCCTGTTCACGCCTTAATCATTCACCATTTCAGACATGCTTCTCATCGTCTCTTTAATAGTAGTGGCAGGGTTAGCAATGCGGATGAAGATCAGAAACTCTCCTGGAAGGTTTGTGTGTATCGCCAGTAAAGGAAATGACCACTCGGTCCTGCCTTATGCTGGCATCGGTAAGACTCGTTCTTCCGTCTAGCGCCGACAAAATATCCCATTAATCCTTGAATCGAGGGTGAATAATACTATCAAAGGCATATTTCACGACCAGCTGGCTGCAGGAATCCTTCCCGTCAGACTGTACCTCAAGTGCAAACTTTGCACCCACGCTAAAAGGGCGCTAGGAGGTTGTGCTGCTCAGGTGACTCCTTCCCTGGCCTGTGAGTCCGTCTAGAGCTTGATTTCGCAGAGCTCTACGCATCTCGCCCCCTTTTTATGATCTCCCGGACACACACCGTCTGGCCTCACACAGTGCATAAATAAGCTGTAGGAAAGGAGGGTCTCATTCAGGGTGCCTTCATCATTTTCTTTTTTTTTCTTGAGTCTCGGCCAGTTTCACTTACAGACACATTTTTCGATCCCACTACCTACGTTCTGGGTAGGAAACGGTGCAGTAGCAAGCGCTTTCCCTCACGCGTGGTCCGGAATGCAATCCTGGATCGTGCCGACTAGTAGGCTAGTCAAGCCGTTCAGACCGCCGGGGTCGATTAAATGCTACCAGGCTTGTCTGGGAGTATAAAACACCATCCCTTGCTGGTCTCCGCAAGTCATTTATAGGTCAAATCGCATTCAGAATGCCGCTTGGGCTTTGACTGATAGTAGAGGGGGTAGCGTACCCAGCACGGGGTCGTTCAAGCGTTCTTACCATCCTTGTTACTGCCCACGTCCTCTACAGTCGTGGAATATGCCTTTAAATTTCGTATTCCAATCCTTTTCTTAACTGGAGTAAGAGTAGAAACGTCATTGTACGCCCCCAACTAACAAACTTCTATTTTTCCTCAAAATACCAAGCTAAGAACTTCGTTTAATTCAGGATGAAGACGGTTTGGAAATCAAGATTGTGAAACCGATTAAGAAGGAGAGTGCAAGATTGTCTCACAAAAGAAGGCGATGTGGTCGACCAGTTCTACAGACTCACTGACAAAGACGGCAAAGAAATTGGCAGCAATTTCGGCAAAAAACCGTTAGTGAAACCGCCTGCTGAATGTGATGGTTTTGGAAGACTTTTCTTTGCAGATACACTTTCACGTTGGGCAAAGGTCAAGTGATCCCGGGAATGGAGCGTGCAATGACTGGCATGTGCATCGGTGAGAAGAGAAAGGTGGTGATTCCCGGAAAACTTGGCTTTGGCAAAGATGGAAGAGACAGGTGCAGTGCCATTTTCCGATAGAAAACTTTCGCTGGAAAAGTAGCTTTCGGTGGAAGTTGGTCAAGAGATCCATCTTGCGGCGACGCGGCGAAAGCGGGGTCGCGCACGCGGCAAGGCAGTAGTTGCACGCAGCCAAACGTGTTATTACCCCTGCATTCACGAAAAAAAAAAAAAAAAAAAAAAACGACGCCTACTCTTAGGGGGTGTGCTTGTCGCCGTCAACGGTCTGCTTCATATTCAGCAAAATCTTCTAAACTCGCAAATTCCAGCATTTCACACATGTCAGGAGACTCACCCTTCCTCTCAGCCCTGCCCCTAAAACTGCCTACATTCTCTCTGACTCACGAAATGCTCGTTTTGCACTAAATGCGACAATGGCGCTCGCTATTGAAACGATTCTTCGATGATGCCATTTTTGATTTAAGCCGTCGAAAATTATTGGTCTTATACGTACTTTAGGGACTAACACTTAAATTGACGCGAAAGCATTGCGCGTTAGTCGAATGCGAACTATAAGGCCGATGTCAGACTTTGCGAATCGCGCGATTCGCTAGCGTCCGCGGTCGCGTTGCGGTACCAGCCAATTGAGTGATTCACTGGCCGCGACGCGACCGCAGACGCTAGCGAATCGCGCGATTCGCAAAGTCTGACATCGGCCTAAAATCGTTGCGTGTTCAAAACTGAGCCTTCTGACCAATATCCATTAATTTCTCCTTTTCCGAACCACTTAAAAAATAGATATCGACTGAAACGCTGCTGTTTCAGAGACAACATTGCCAAAGATCAGACCCTCTACTATACCAGTGCAGTTGGTCGACCTGTTCCGAGCGGTTCCTGGTGACAAGTGGGAAACTGACGAAGGCATTACAATCGAGGTTGGTACTTTTGTCCGGTTTGGAACTTTTTCAGAGACGAAACTCGCGAATCACTGAAGACACTGAAAGGTATATCGAGGCCTCATCCAGGGGCGGTATTCAATCCTTCCCCCAGGGGGATATATCCCCCTCCTCTGATTCAATCCTCTGGGGGACAAAAAAGGGTTGCGTCATAGGACCTAGCATACCTCTGTGTTTCTACCTGCCAGACAGTTAGAGCAGCGCTACTACCCTCCACTGATGAAGCACTCTTTCCCCTGAGGGGTCGCGCTGCTCTAACTGTCTGGCAGGTAGAAACACAGAGGTATGCTAGGTCCTATGACGCAACCCTTTTTTGTCCCCCCAGAGGATTGAATCAGAGTAGGGGGATATATCCCCCTGGGGGAAGGATTGAATACCGCCCCAGGAAAGGGGTATGCGTTTCAGGGCGCATAATGGCATATAAAACCATGGAAAACATATACTTCATAAGAGACCGCCGCGTCGGTAAGCAATTCCCATTTACCCAAGAGAGGGGGCCTCCTCCTTCTCCTATGCTATGTTCAAGCTGCTCGCGAGGAAAAAATTTCATTTTTCACAGTCGTTCATTTCACCCGGAACAAAAACACATACATTATACAAAATACCTAAAGAGATAACGTAGGAAAAAGCACCTAGCAACCTTAAAGGTCTCCCTCAGCCAAAACTCCTACTGGATGAGACCCTGTATAAGAAAAGTTGGCGCAATGAGGCTCGAGGGGGGGCCAGTCGCCGCGCGCGATCTCTGCTCGTCCGCGCCCTGTAGTACTAAGCCTAGGAGTGGGCAGGAACTTTGGGAAGATGAAAATTGCTATGATCCTGGAGTTCCTCCTCCCCTGCCCGAGGCTTAGTCCCGATTTAGCGAAGAGGAAATGCTTACACAGAAAAACGCAGAGATCGCGCGCGGCGACTGGCCCCCTCGAGCCACATTGCGCCGAAAAGTTGCTAGAAGTGCCAAACAGCGCGTTTGTAAAAAAGCAAGTAAAATGGTCAAAAACTCTAGAAATACTATCGTCTTCTACCTATTTATTTCAAATTCGGAACAGCTAACGACGGCTGTTGGCGTTTACAACATGTACTTTGTAACCATACTATAAGTAATTATTTAATACCTACATATAAATATGCTACAATACTAATGATTTCTACTCGCTCTGCACAAAAGTGTCCCTAAAACGCGAAAACGAAAGCTGAAAATCACGGAATTCATCCGGGATACGGTATGTCTGGATTCCGTTGAACACTTTCGCATCTTATGACTTCTTTGATAGGGCGCTTTCTGCCACGAAAGCGCCACCTATCCTCTATTACGACCTTTCTCTACTCCTCCGCTACCCATTTTCTCTCGATAAACAACAATTTTATCGCGTTTAGTTTTTAAGAAATCAGCTCTAACCCTCAGTTCAAATTCAAACAATGCCACCCTAAAGGCCTGATTTTCTGCCGGAATATATTGCTGCATGGCAATAGGAAGGGTATGATTGCAAACCGGCTCAGAAGTGGTCTACGACCAGACGCAGTGACTATCAAGCAATTCTTATGGGAATTTCTCCTTTGTATGACCCGGTTCTAGGCGCCCAACATTTTCATAGCGCTGATAGGCTTACTAATAGTTCCAGCTGGAGCCCAAATGTGTTCAGTCGCCTCTGCCAATTCCTGTCCTATTCCCAAACACGCTTCTGTCTCTCATGTTTTCGATTACCCTCTGTACAAACATAAGTCATGCGGACCTCGCCCCGTCACTGTCACCCGGATGTCAATAACAAAAATGGAACTTTTTCACTAGTTTTTGAAAATCTGCTGGAAATACTTAGGGTAAGGAATATATTCAATGGTACTTCTATTCGTTAAAAATCTTCCTATGTCGAACTGCAGTAGTTTGATAACATACCACGCCCTTCTTACAAACCCCGCCCCTCAACCAAACAACGCTGGTAAGTCACTTCCTGTCGTTATCATTTGTAATGGCACTTAATTAATGGGATAGGGTTGAAATTACCACAAATCATGGTCGTGGACGCGCTTTACCCTGCAACGGTTGAAGGCCTAGAATTAGGTAAAGAATAAGCCGCACAACCTTCGGAAGGACGTTTTCGAACTCGTCTGCTCCGCATGTTGACACTGGACAAATTTGATGGCCAGCAAAGCAATGGGTTGTCACAGTGGTTAGAGGGCGCCATCTTCATGAGGTCCAACAGGATCGAGTCTCCTCTGGATTAGCCAAATATTAATTTTTCTTCAAAAAATATGGTTAAAAGGAATGTATCAACTTATGAAATGGGCGTTGAAGCAGTGGCCTCAATACTATGAGATCACTGTGCTTTCGAATGGAAACGAAGTGCACGGCGTATCCCATCTTTCTGAAATTCAAGAGATCAACTTTGGTTAGAGGCTTAAAGGAATCGCTTTTTGTGCGGATTAGGGAGTGTATGGGCAGAGTGGTGTAGAGTCAAGTGGCTTCACCTCATACGCGCAATGTCCTGGGGTTAAACTGGATTTTAACTCGCCCTGGTCAACCAAGTCCACTATCCTTTTAGGCTTGAAGACTAAAGGAATTCCGGGAATAGAATTCTGGATTGTGCTTCCGGGCCAACCAAACCTTCTATCCCTCTGCGGTCGGTTAATTGGTGCCAGAATTGTCCATCGGCCAGCCCCGCAAGTCAATGTATGCCGAGACCCATTCAAATGCCACATAATGATTCTCAATGAGTAGTCTGTGCGTGGCGCATCCCAAGAATCGGATATGCTTAAAGCCGAGAGATCAGCGCTTTCGAGCTGTTCCAGCCTGACGAGCTGGTTTTGTTTTTTGGCTGGCCAGAGGAATTGTTTTTTTCGTGCTCAGTCATCGTTTACCAGCGGCGTTCCCCGTGGAAAAAACTAGTAGTTACCGAGAAAGCCTTGAGTGTAAAGTCGGTGCAGTAAGCCACAGTCGAGCAATGGGTGCTACTAGACTACGGGTTGGGTTACGTCATATAACCAGTACTGAACTGATTAATAACTGCTTTTTAAGGTAACTCACAAAATCGACGAGGATAAGTGTCGAAAGTCCGAAACTGGCGACACCATTCACCAACAGTACGTGCTTCACCTCGAGGATGGCACTTTCGTCGATTCGTCCTTCTCTCGCAATGCTCCGTTCATTTTCCGGCTCAACAAAGGGGTACTGTACAGCTTCTTCTGCTTAGGAACCCAGTTTTTATCATCCTTTCAGGAAGTCATCAAGGGAATGGATATTGCAATGACCGGCATGTGTGAGGGCGAAAGACGTCTCGTGATCATCCCATCCGAATACGGTACGTTAGAGTCGGGGAATCAACCGTAGGAAACTGTTCACTGAGCGGGGGATATTTCAGGATACGGTGAATGATGGACGACCACCACAGATTCCCGGCAAGGCCACTCTCTACTTTGATATCACCCTCGAGAAGCTAATCAAGAAGGATGAGTTATGAACCGTAATTGTCGACCACATCACGAGTGATATGTGACCTGCCTCTGTCGCTGCCTTTGCCACTTGAAGCGCTGCCTTGTATCTGTGAATGAAATTAAATTATTCTCTGAATATTGTTTGATTTAAACAATACTTTTGTTTACTTTCGCTGTGTTGGTTTGTGACATGTGGATGTATATGATGAAATCATTTTGGCCTTAATGACACATTTCATGCTCACGTGACGGAACGAAAGAAAAGTGAACTGGTCTGCAGGAGTATCGGTTATACCATTTCTGTATCACAAAGTTGGAAGCAATGGCGCTAAGGCTCATGGTCGCTTCCGTGACTTCACTCCTCTCCCTTAGTGACCTTCTAATTCAACCACATTTGATGCAGTCTGCGTCTCGCTCGTGCCTGTGCTCTCTCATCGTCGTCGTCTGCTCCCTAGTCCCTGCATCCAAAGTTTTTCTCACAGTAAACCCGTGTATGAATTGCCGAAATAAGCTGAAAGCCTTTTGGTATTTGTTTTTGCTTCCTCAGGGGCGGATCACCTTGCAACAGCGTCTACAGTCTCATTTTTCTCACCTGTGATAACCGACGTCACTTTAGGGAATCGTCACAGAAAATTCTGGCATTCATCCCCAACCTGAATACGTGAGTTAAGCCACTAGAGGCAAGGTACAAACTTTCATGCAAGAAAGATCTGGCTTCCGAAAAGATATGCTTACGAAACCCCACACTGGCCGCGGTTGGGCGTCGGCAGCAGGAGAAAAGGAAAAAGCGCGCCCTGGAACGTTCACGTGTCAGGCGACGCATTGAAAGATCGAGCTAAAGTGTTCGAATTTGGAGAATAGAGCAAAATCATCGAAAGAATAGGACGTAAATGAAAATGTTGTTGCTATTACTATGAGTATGAATAAATTGATGCAGAATGAGCCGCAGTAGAGAAAAAGGGAAAGAAGCCGTCAAAAACGCCACCTTAAAGCAACAGCCCAAGAACGAATTCGCGGGCAAAAACACGATACAAAACACTTGAGATGTGGGTGCAAATTCAAATGAAAGAAAAGTTTAAAAAAAAAGACGTCGAACAGGGACTTAGACAGGGGCTCCCCCTCGCCACTTAGCAATGGAGGAAGACGCTCGTTGGACGAGTTGTATGAACATGCCCGCAGTAAATGCGCCCCAATTGCAATAGCTGGCAATTGCTGGCAAGTAGCCAGCTATTGCAATTGGGGCGCAATAATGGGATCGTTTCATGTTTTGAAGGTAGAAGGTAGAAGGAAAAAATGTAGAAATTCAGCGTTGTCGGCATCACTACATCGATTGCTTTAAAGGATCGACCTCAAATAGGTCCCGGCGGTCCCGCAACGACCGCCAATCAACTACCGCGCTCTTCACAGCAGCAAGGGGGCGGCTCCACCGAGGCTCGGTGGACCCGCCCTTTTCGAAGAAGTTCGAGCCCTTCCTACGCATTTCAAAGGTAAGTTTTCAATTCAGTGACAGTTCCTATGAACT